ATGGAGGAGGAGCTGAGGCTGTGGATCGAGGATCTGACCGGCAAGAAGATCGGAGACGGCTTCATGGACAGTCTGAAAGATGGAGTCCTGCTGTGCGAGTGAGTGGAGGAACACCTGGACTAGACCTGGACTAGACCTGGACTAGACCTGGACCAGACCGGGACTAGACCTGGACTAGACCGGGACTAGACCTGGACTAGACCTGGACCAGACCTGGACTCGACCAGGACTCGACCAGGAGTGAACCCTGTTTTAAAGGTCCAGCCTGACTGTGTGGTTCTGTTTTTATTTTCCAGACTCATCAACGTTCTCCAGCCTGGTTCAGTGAGGAAGATCAACCACTCCAGTCAGAACTGGCACCAGGTACACACCAGGTCCATGAGGTGAAGATGTCACTGGTCCAGTTGGTCTGGAGCCGGGTGTCCAGACTGATGTGGTCACGACCAGACTAGAGTCATCTACCTACAATGTTACATACATACAGTCAACCTGCTCTAGATAAATATTCTATGTTGGAGTACGGACTGAATTCATCAAGCTGTGGTCATTTTAATATTTTTCGCCTCAGCTGGAAAACATCGGGAATTTTGTGCGTGCCATCACGGAGTACGGCCTGAAGCCACACGACATCTTTGAAGCCAATGATCTGTTTGAGAACGTCAACCACACTCAGGTCCAGAGCACGCTCATCACTCTGGCTGGAATGGTGAGAACACACACACACACACACACACACACCTCTAACCCTGCCTGGTAACCAGTGATGTCATGTTTGGTTGGTCTAGTTCTATATTCATGGTTCTCATTTAACCATCAGATATAAAGAAACAAAAACACTCTTTTTTTTTTTCCCTTCAGGCCAAATCTAAAGGCGTCCACTCCACCCACGACTTCGGGGTGAAGTACGCTGAGAAGCAGCAACGCCGCTTCGCTCCCGAGAAGCTGAAGGAAGGACGCAACGTCATCGGCCTGCAGGTCAGAGCAACGACGGGCTAGCTGAACTAGCTAAACCGAACGGTTGAAAGATGAATGTGTTGTTGTTGATGATGTCATGGAGGCGTTCACAGTCCAGAGAGTCAGAATGTACTTATTTCTGTTAGTGTTTGACATGAAGAAGGAGAAGGAAACGTGATGACAGGTGAAAGTTCACCGTTACTTTAGGACAGGTTCAAGTCTCACTCAGTGGGATGGAGTTGTGCCCCCTGCTGGACTTCTGTTGAAGTCGAACACGTAGGCCTTCATGTTTAAGTGTGTGCAGAGAAACAGTCATCACATACAGCTGACTGAGTCACAGTGTCGGCCATGACTGTTTGTAGATGGGCACCAACAAGCTGGCCAGCCAAAAGGGCATGACCTCTTACGGCACACGCCGCCATTTGTACGATTCCAAGATTGGCATGGACGCCCCCGTGGACCAGTCCACCATCAGCCTACAGATGGGCACCAACAAAGGAGCCAGTCAGGTGAGTAGGGCTGTGTTCTGAGTGTGTTCCACCGTCATGTTCCGGTGGGTTCTCAGGATTTAAGAATAAAAAACAAACCAGAAAAAATCTGTTCATTCTTTGAGTCTGTCCAGCAGTTGGTGTGTGTGTTGGTCACCTTCTTTATCCCCCCCCCTCCCCAAACCCCCCACCTCCAACATTTCAAGACCCCTCGTTCCCTCCTGAAGCGTGTTTACATAGTAGCGGGTGTATGTTTTTTCTCCCTCTCCATCGTGGTTCAAGTGCCTGTTCAATAGGCCGATGGTTGCGCTTCCTTTTAAGGGTTGATCGCCGTGGTCTATTACTTACACTACATGTGTACAGCATCTGTGCAGGAGGCAGAAACCTGGGCCAGGGTTTGGAATTAGCCTCGGATGGAACAACATTGTTTCTCCAAGCTTTGCTGCTTCATACTTTGGGCTGTGGAGCTTGTTAGGACCACAACTGTGGATGTGACGAGCAGGAGAAGACGTCCAGAAGTTCTTCTCCTGAGGAGGTTGATGGTGTTGGAGGTTTTTTTAAATCCCGTAGTAAATAAATAAATCTGTTTGTTTTTATACAGTGGCCGAGAATCACATAAAAAAAATCAACAAATATCTTGAAGTAATGAACTCTTCATATTTATAGATATTTTTCTACTGCGTTTGTTATGAAGTACCTGTAGTTTTTGGAATACTTCGTTCTCTCCTCGTTAGTTTGAGACCTCATGAAGCTGACTTAGCGACTCCTCGGCAGAACATGAGTGAGCGTGTGTTGGTGCTGTTGACCTCTGACCTCCACCCGGGCGGACGGATGCTCTCCTGGGTGTGTGAGTGTGACGGAGGACGGAGGTGTAGCTCCTGTGCAGACGTTGTTTTGTTGATGAGGTTTTCTGTTTGTTTCCATCATCAAGGCCCTTCTGACACATGACCAGTTGGGGGAGGTAGTGAGTCTGTCGTGGATTATTGTTGCTGTGGTAGAATCCCGTTTTAATCCCCAGTCTTTCTCTGGACTGTGTGTCAGACTGTTGTTTTTACTGTTGTTTTTACTGCCAGCCTCATGGAAACATTTGTCTCTTTGCTTTTAAAGCTTTGGCTTCATTTGCACTTTAACCAGCTTCACTTTGTGAGCAGTAAAGCAGTCACTACCATACCACCGCCGTGGTTACTTCAAACAGGCCGGCCTCTCGTTACAGGTTTCAACTTTATCACAAAGATAATCCTGTTGACCCGAGGTTCGTTTCACTGACAATGGTTTGGGTTGTTTTTACACTGTGACGTCACTACTGTTGCTCATGCACAGAATCTAACACCATTGTTGAGGAGAGATGAGGTTCCTGCACTTTTACTCATTTAACTGATGTCATGATGATGTCATCGGTGTCAAACTGTTGGCCCACCGCGTGTACTGAATGTTACGTCATCTTTAGGTTCAACTAGTTTTTCACAGACCAGTTCACTCTCTGCATGTCTGCTCAAATAGTGGGTTTGAAGCAAACGGACAAGTTGATTTCAGCTCCTGACACATGTAGTAGACCGCCATCTACTGGGGGAATGTCTAGCCTACACGTGCAGCTACCGTTTACTGCATGCTGTATTTTAAATCCAAAAACGACCAAAACTAATTTTAATTTTTTTCAGTGCCATCATCACTGTCTGCTGACCTTCACAACAGCAGTGACGCTGTTTGATCATCAAGTTGTGTTTGCTTTGTTCAAACCACACATTTATGCTAACCCTTCTTTTATGTGCCGTTCACTTTAACATGATATTTGTGCAATAAAAAAAACACTTCAAAAATGTTTTGCAATCATTATTTATACAACATTAAAATACACTTAAATCAATAAAAAATGTTATAATTGAACAGTTTAAAACATGCTGCTGAAAACTAATGAGTTATTACCACTGTGTCATTAACCAAAAACGTTTTGAACTCGACACTTGCTGGTGTTTTAAAACTTATTCCACATACAAAGAGGTTTAATGTCAAGTAAATAATACTATTTTAACTGAATGACAAACTAGAGAACTGAGTTTAAGGTGTTGTCGTCATAGCAACAGGTCAAACCTCTGGCCCAGCCAGAAGGCCGTGTGTCCTGTTCAGAAAAAGCATTGAAGATGACAGAAAACGTGAGAAAACGAAGGTGAGAAAACACACGTGAGAAAACACACGTGACTACTGATTGGCTGCTTCACAGGCATCGATCCAGTCGCTGTAGACATCGACGGGCTCGGACAGATCTGGGGGTCGGGGTTAAAGGTCGTCTGTATGTTGGTGTATTTCACATAAATTACTGTAATAATGTGCAGGAAGAGGCTGACGATCAGCGCATGCGTGTTTTTGCTCAGCCAAATATAAAGCTGCGTTCAAGGATACAAGTTATCGGCGTCTGGAACTCCTCCAAACAAACGGTGCACGATATGATCCCCGTGTTCCGAGTCCGCTCCCTGGAAAGGCGCCATCGTTGTCGTTAAAGTCAACATTTATACGTTATATCAGGAAGTTACGGTCGACTCACATCTTGACATCACAGGATTTCTCGTGGTTACAGAATGGACAGGTGAACTGAGTGTCCAGGTTCCCCGTCATCTTCTTCTTCGGCGGCGGCTTCCTCTTGGACTTCCTGCGTCCCATCTCTCACAGAGAACCTCTGCACTGACAGACAAAAGAGAAGAACACCGACATGACACACGTAAAAACACAGCACGTTTTCATAGACAATATTAAACTCATTTTGAATTAGTGCAGGACTGCGGTCATTTTATATAAACTACATATAAAAGAGTTTCACAAGTCTGAACTTTAGCTGTAAAAACCTAACAAAACAATGTCGGTCAGTTTATACAATAACTGACAGTTGTTTCTTACGTGACATAAACACACTTTATAGACGGTACATCTGTGATGATACCACACACAGAGCCGTTAAGAACCTAGAGAACACTGCTACATGCTAACGAGCTAACTGCCGCCACAGAACACACAGCCTGACTGACGTTAGCTGCGGACGGCGCCGTTTGAGCAAAAACAAGAGCGATGTTAAAATGTCTTCATCTCTTTTCAGTTACGGGACAAAGAATTTGCTGGAAAGACGTGACGATCGATTTACCGAGCGATGCTTCGCCGCGGAGGAGGAGGAGGAGGAGGAAGAGGAGGATGATGCTGCTGCTTTATCGGTACAACGGCTCCAGGAGCAGCGTTTTCCCTCGGATCTCCTATGATTGGTCGGATGGAGAGCTACGTTCAATCTTATTGGTTTAAAGTAGTGGCATGAAAAAGGAGACCGCTGGCTTTGGTTAGATCACGGGAGAAATAAGTGTTCATTCAAAGCCAACGGCCTCTGAAGTAATAAGCACTGATTCATCACCGCGGCTCATTAGGCTGCTGTGTTTGTGTTAAACATCTCTCTGCTCTTCACACCATGGGCTTGAGTTATGTATGTGTCTGGGTAAGAAATGAACTTTTTAATGGGCGTCTTTTGCCTCTGTGAAAAATGGTTCAAAGGTACTTTGGATTCATTCCTGTCCAACTGGGAAATACCTTGTTTTCCCAGGTCTGGGATTCCAGGCTACGAGGCCTCAAAGACATTTGAACAACTTGAAGTCATGGTTTTGAATAGCGTACTACCACTGCAGCCTAGTTACTGAGAGAATCAGGTGGTTCTCAAAGGGTCCAGTCAGGGTCAGGACCCACACTTTGAGTTCACAGATGCCTCTGCAACATTAGCCAAACATGAGTTCATCAACACAGTGGCACGTTAGAACACAACTGCTGTGAAGAATGTTCCTGTGGCCCAGAGTGAAACCCAGCAGCCCACGTTGGGGTCAGGAGCCAGGGTTTTGAAGACAACAGCTTGAGGTACCTTTTCTTTATATACAGGAACCTGCAGCTGATGTCGGCAACTTCCAAACACCTCATTAATATTAATGTTTCAACTTTTAAATCAATTACAACTTTCTGAAGTATGGAGATGCAGTACTACTTCTACAGTTAATGACCCTGGTGGCCACAGTGGAGCTGTTGTGGAGAAACAGTCAATACAATAATGTAATATAATAGAGGAGAGTTGCAGAGTCGGGGGGGTGGGGGGGAGTCGGGGGGGAATGGTCCAAATCATTTTATACTGAAACCCTGGAGTATTAACAAACGTGGTGTGTATTATTCATGAGACCAACATTTTATTACAAAGTAAAATTATTGATGAGATCGTTGTGAAGCTGCTCTAAAACCAAGGCTTCGTTCACGAGTTCTTCGACTCTCAGAGAATAAAATGATTTATTGAACAGTGACTTTGTTAAGAATTGAAAATAAAAACAGCACATGCATAAAACAACAGTTAAAATAATGATTGAAATAAAATATTAAACATTTAATAAATATTGAAAATGAAGGATGTGGTTGGAAAGTCAAAAAGAGAAGAACAGCCTTCTAAAATATGGTAATTTATTCATTGTCTGTGAAAACCATTGGTCTGCCTGGCCGACAGGGGGCGTGGCTTGGAGAACATAACAACATGACCGAGGAAGTGGCTCCGCTGGATGAACTTTGTATCAAACCAACTTCATACTTTCGAATAGAAACATTTTATTGAACGACCTGTAGCAGAAACTAAGGTGAGTTGTTCTTTGAAGTTAAAGTTTAAAGTTAAAGTTTAAAGTCTGAAGTAAGACGGACAAGGTGTCGGGACAAACGGATGTCGTCGTACATTGACTTCCCATCAGTTGTGGAGCTAACTCCTGTTAGCATCACACTGTAAACAGGTGGTGTTACCTCCACCTGTTTACCTTTTACCGCCATGTTGGGAACGTTTGTCTGCAGAGCCGCAGGTGGAGGTTTTTAGAATGATCTCAAATGAAACGAGTCAAGTGTTTACTGTGACCTGGACTTATCTCTCTGTGACGTTTTATCAGCTCAGCTGCACATGTTAAAAACACGCCTGACGTCATACACGGCCAGACTGTAACGCTAATGCGGCACACGTATTCACTTTACGCTTCTTTAGTGACGTTAACATAAGAAGAACGTTAGCTGTGACGTTGTGGTCTACGTATGCAGCCCAGTTTTCATGTTTCTGCTGTGCTGCAGGTTACGTCCTGTACAATTGTGCTTAAAAAAAGAAACAGCAAAAACCTCATTCCAAGCCTTTTCCTGTGTTGGTTAAAAATGTGATTTTTGTGTGTTTTCAGGGAAAGA